ATGAAGGAACAAATGATACTATTAGTTAAATGGGACTGCGCAATATGAAAATACAGAAGTGCAGCTTAAAAATTGAACAGCATGTAAGAAAAATAATATATTTTACCAGCAGTGGGAAATAGACAAACATTAAAAATTCAATGACATATCCCAAATATCTAAATAAATAAATAAACAAACATTGCTGTTCAACCAATTGATGTGAGAATGCTCGGTGGTTACCTTCAAGAGCACCATTCTCTCTAATATCCTGTGCAGTAATGAGTTCTGTGCATTACTTTTGCATAATCTGACCATTTTTTTTTTAGGTACTGTACGTTGTGGCACTGTCTGAACTCTGATTTCCTAGCAGGTTTTATTAGGAAGAATACCAAGTGGTTTCAGGTGATTTCTTAGCAACCATCCTGGGAATAAGTGGTCTTACGGTTCCCAGAGCAACAGCCACATTTGCTTGTTTGTCGTAAAAATGTGAAAGCCTTACTTCCCATTCAATTTGGAAACACAGTGCAAAGTAAAATGCACCTGTAGATGTTCAGAGTTGTGTTCCTGCTGCACAGGCAGTGAAACAGCAATACTGTGGAAGGAAGGATTTGGGTCTGTGCTAACTTGAGTTTATTTTCGTGCTGTTTTCCTCTTTAAAACGTGAACATTTAATGAGGTGCTCTGAATTGTAATGCTTTATGATGTTTCCTGTTACTTTAGTGATGGACTACAAAACTCCTTTATATTATAGAATCATAGAATGGTTTGGGTTGGAAAGGACCTTAAGATCATCCAGTTCCAACCCCCTGCTATAAGCAGGGATGCCTCACACTAGACCATGTTGTCCAAGGCTCTGTCCAACCTGGCCTTGAACACTGCCAGGGATGGAGCATTCACCAGTTCTTTGAGCAGCCTGTTCCAGTGCCTCACTACCCTCAAAGGGAAGAACTTGTCCTTATATCTAACCTGAACTTCCCCTATTTCAGTTTAACTCATTACCTCTTGTTCTATCACTACAATCTCTGACGAAGAGTCCCTCTCAGGCATCCTTGTAGGCCCCCTTCAGATATTAAGAGTTTGTAAATGCTATTAGACAGTTATTTAAGTAGGAGCCAATGCTGAAAGTTTCTAATAAAATCTCCAAAAGCGCTTTAGTGGCAGAGGAGCCAAATTTCCAACAACCTGTATTAATTGTACAGAGGAGAGAAAGGGAATACTGTAACAGCACTGTGCAATGCCTGGCCAGGATGGACTTAACCACCCAGCTCACAATTCTGCACTGACCCAGTTACGCTGGCTTGATCCCAGTGGTACCTACCTCTCAGTTCATTACGGCTCCTCTCTGAGCAGTATTTGGAGTTTTACCTTCTACATTAAAATTAAAGGTCAAGCTTCTTCACTGAGAGAAGAGCTTCAAAGCTTACCTTGGTCTCTGTACTCCCATCTCTGTCCTATTGTTCATGGCCCTGCCTTCCTCATGCTTTGTACACTAATTCTTTTTGTCCCTTCTCCAGGTGGAATTTTTGGAGACTTTATGATACTTTCACTGAACTTGAGCTGTCCACATAGTTAGACTTCTAACCCAAACCTGTAGGCTTTGCAAGTTTTCTTCTCCCATGATGAAACATGCAGACTTTCAAGCTTATGAAAGTTAGATGAGAAAATATACATGGGGGAAGTTTCAAAACCAGGCTTAGAAAAGAGATTGTTTACCAGTCTGTTATGGAGGTGCTCACTGACTTTCCAGTACATTGGAAAATGTTCCAAAAAGCTGAATACAGACTGAATTACCACATCCTTAAAGGGACACATGGCCCCCTCATTTTGCTGCTGTTGAGGGGGGAGAAAAAATTGAAGAAAATATGTGTAAGCACCTAGCACAGATGGAACATTTGCTTGCTTGCTTGAACCAATACATGAGGGATTTCTCTGTGTGGCTTAACGTACAGTACTGGTACTTCTATGGAATGTTTGGGGAGTTTTTCTCCTTGGGAACCATGAGCAATAAGAGGGCAGCCTTGGCTGTTAATTTGCATTAAAAGAACATTGGGTATTCAAACAGCCAAGTTTGCCAGATCAGTTTTCCCATTTGACACACTCTGACTCTTGGGTGCCTGATCCTGCAGCTTTGACTTCACTAAAGCCATTACATGTCGTATTAATAATAATAATAATGAAGCCTGGCTTTACTTATGCATTTATTCAAATCGTGCAAGGAATACATATCCTGGTTTCAGAGAAAGTTGCATTTCAGGATTTGAGCATTCTGACTGTGTCTCTTTAAATATTTGGATACGAATAAATGGTGAGAAAATTATCTTTGCAAGCTTCAAACCATTCTAAGTCTACTGTGTTGCCTCCAGCCACATGCTGTCTGATGCTGCCTAGACAAACCAGGGCAAACCATTATCATGGGATTAAACACTAAATACCTGCAAGGAGCATTCTCTTTATCAGATAGCGCTCTGTTAGCAGAGTTCATTCACTTTATTGCATATATAACTGTGGTGTCAAATAGACTGATTTACAACACCTGGTCTTTTACATAATCTTTGCTATTTGCTGTGCTTGTAATCTGCCAAATCATTTAGCCTTCCTGATAGCAGAAATGCTGTAAAACTTAGATAAACTTGCAGAAGAAATGAACTCGAAGGTACTGCTGAAATCTAGGGCCTGCACGTTTGCTGTAAATGCACTGGCTGGTTTGGTTTCCCCGTACCTAATCTGTGATTGAATGTGGCTGCTAGAGAAATTGAAATTTTATGATAGCACTAAAGTCAGAGGAGATAAGCATTTGTATGCTAGACTAGATTAATCTAAAAAGAAGTTTTAGGTGTGGCTAATGAAACCAGCGAATGTGTTAACTGGGTTTCTTCGGGGTTCAAAGCATCTGTGTATATCTATATAGAGTCTAGTCCAAAACTTTCTCTACGTGAGAAGTCTAATATAGCTATGTGATAGTTCTCACTATCAGTGCGGCTTACTCCATCTTAGGTTAGGGATATCTTTAAGGAGCCTTAGTTTTTAGAGGGTACTTTCTGAATACTAATACAGGCAACAGACCACTCTAAAACGGGCTTGCTTGGGTGCCTAAAACCCCTGTGTCCTTCTGAAATGATTAGGGTGACTGTGAGGCATTATGTAGGGTTAGCCACTTACACAGTCCAACTGAAACAAAACAAAGCTGTGGTTTCTTTGGTTTGAATCACACATTTTTGGTGATGGGGGTTGATTTCAATAGACAGATAATAGGAAGACATGTAGACAAGCTTTAAAAAGTGAAAAAGAAATCAGCAAAATGGGTTTCTGATTGGGTAAAATGCAAGTTAGTACATCCAAGGGAAAATAAAACAATCTATAGATAGTCAAATAGAGGAGAGAGCCCTGTGCGACAGTAGTGTTGAGTCAGGCTGTGTTAGAAATGATGCTGACCATCAGATTGGAAGAAACTGTAAGAACTGAAGGAAATGTAAGAGCTGGCTTTTGCAAGCAATCATAGCATGACTCCAGTGGTTGGCATTAGCATCAATATTATCCCATCAGCACAACAGTACCACCTCCTTTGAGCTGAGGAAGTATATCAGTGTCTCAGACATAACTGAGTTACCTTGTCATGGCCAGTTTTTCTGATGATGCTGGGACATACTAGTCACTACTGGAGCTAATGAAGGATATTTTGCACAGAGTTGCTAACTTGAAGGTAGAAGTCTTTTTGCCTGCTGGTGCTGCTTCATGATGCTATTGGACAGCACAAGTGTTAACTCTGCCTCTGGGAGATATGTTGGCCACTGCTAATCTTCCACATCAGTAAATTGATGTGAATGTTTGTACTGAAGAATTTTTCATCTCATCTGAGTTGAGGAACCTACCCAGCTGTCTCTAATTGTTTAGCCTTCCTAGGCTCCCACTGTCCTGAAGGGAAAAACAGAGGGTTTTCTCGAAGCAGGAAACTGCTTGAGATGTTTCCTCATGCTGTGGATGAACTCCTTCTGCTTACAAGAGAGGGACCCCATGGAAACCAGCCAGTTACACTGATATTTTAGGTTGGTGAAGCATGTTCCCTGCATGTAATTTATTGAATGTGTGAATTATTTCAGAGTTGTGAACATTGGGCAGGTTGGTGCTAACAACAGGGTGGAACTTCAGGGTAAAACTCTTGAGTGATAGCTCTTAGACTGGAGAGCAGAATCCCTGGGGAAACAGTGGAAATGGTATTGTTTAAGACATTTAAAGTTAGACAGGAGAAAATATATTGTAATGATCTGTCCTGTGCTGGTATTTAGATCAGGTTTTGTCTTGTGTGAATATTAATAGGAAGTCTCTATCTGAAGTAACTACCATTATTCAGCATGCGTTACCACGTAACACTGGCTTGCAACCTTCCCCCACATCCGTACTCCCACTTACAGGACAGCCTGAATAATGTTTAGCACCAGTGCTTTTTCTCTTGGTGCCTCAAGTGTTGATTTTGTATTGCCTTGCTTAGATTATATTCCTTCAGTGCTTCCACCAAACAGACTCCGTATAGTGCACAGAGATTTACAGGAAGCACGTGTGGTTTGTGGCAATAATAATAAAATCTCCTGCTGTTTTCAAATCCCTGAGAAACTAAATCAAGTGTAGAGGTCTATTCAAAAAAGTGCAGCATGTGAATAAGTCACTTTACCATTACTTGTGTGGGTCTGCCTTGTACCTGTTCAGTGTATTTCACTGTCATATCTCTGAAGTCTGTCCTCAGTCTCTGGAGTGCGACTAAGACATTACACACCTCAAATGGAAAAGCTGATGAAACAACTTAAAATAACCTGAGCACCCATGCTTTGCTCGCCTCTTTTTTCACTACCTCTGTGTTGGTATTCCTCATAGGAACCCATACAGCAAAATTGGTTCTGTGCTAGTGGCCCCCATCAGACAAATCTAGGTCTAGTCTGAATTACAAAAGTGGGAAGACTGGATTGAATTCCTGTGTAGTGCTGTGATGCTTAATGGAGCTCCATTTTCTTGGTGTGTTTCTGTAGGTGCAAAGACTGTCTTCTTAAAATGGTTGAAGCAATGAATCCAATATCTGCCTCAGGACACCTTTGCAGAGAATCTTATGACAGGAACAAAATGCACACGCCTCATCGTGTGAGCCACAGGCCATCATCGTCTTGGTACCAGACCCCTTGCAGCCCCAGAAGCAGAGCGGATGAGCTGGAGGAGAGCCGGCTCCTCGAGGAGATTTTCTTCATTTGACATGCCTCATTGGTCTTTAATTTTTATGTCTTTTTAGGACCTCTTTATTGCTGATTTGTTTGTGTTAAAGTGCCATCTTTAAATTATTTGAGTGACAACTGTTTGTCTTTTCTCTTCTAAAGCATAGCTGATTAGCATCCAGTTTCATTTTGGATTTAGTGATGATGGTGCTAGAACGTTGTTGGGGTAGACCAGTCAGAAAGCGTTAACTTTTTTTTTCCTGAATCTTTCATGTGCCAAGGTAATCATTCTAAAATATGAATTTTTTAATCTACAACATTTTCTAATAGGTTGAAGTCATAGTTTTGCCAGCCTCATATGAGAAGTATATTTCATTATCGATTTTTACCTCTGAAGCAGTTTGCAAGAACTGCCTAACATTCAAGAACCAGTAGGTTCAAAGTAGATTATTTTCTAATTAAACAAGTCTGTTTCAAACCTGGCATATTATATTATAGATGTACAAGCACTTTAGTACTTTTTTTCCAGTGACTTTATTATCTGCTTTTTCTGTCAGCATTCTGATATTTAAGACTCGGGGGTTTTAGGGGATATGTTGTTATCTCAACTATACAGTGTCTAATAACATTAATAGAAGAGTTGCAGGTTGATGTACTACCCATCTGTTTGAACTACGTTCCTCTTTACATCAGTGCTGTTTGACAGAGTTTATGTGCTGGGTAACCTAACCCAGAAATAGTAGAACACAGTCAGACATTGTAGTGGTCCAAAACTTATCTGATGTAATTTTCAAGATAAAATATATTATAGTGGTAGTATAAGAACAGTCTTAAGACATTTTCACTAATTTGCACTATTTTGATCCTGTACCCAGGCTCCATTGTAAATAAGACAAATCAGTAATTATTTCCACTAGCGGCTCACAATGCACATTTCCCTGATGGCTTTAATTATTCATGCTGTATCTATTTCAGTTTATTTAAATGCACTTCCATCTACTGCATGTACTTGGTTATTTAAAGAAATGTGCCGAATTGGTAAAAATGACTGCAGATTACAGGATTAATGATCATTTTCTGCACAATGCAGTGTTCATATTTTATTGTAACAGTAGCCATCGGCATGTGTTCCTAGAAATATGAGGCTAAAATACTCATTTTGCACAGTAAAATTGCAGCAAGGGAAAGGTAGAATTGAGCCAGTATGGGCAAGTTCTAGGCCATTTGCTCCCAAACACCACGTCGTGGGCCACTACAGCTTTACTGAGAGTCTCTTTAGGCAACCCAGCTTATCTTAATGGCAGTGAGTTGCTGTACCAGTCCTTGGGGTATTGCTGCTGCCTGCCTCGTACACTCTTACTCCTGTTTGGTGCTCTGCAAGGAGCTTGCAAGGCTCGCCAATGAGACCCGCAGTGCATCTCTGATGAGAGCATCAGTGCAGGATATGTAGCATGTGCCCCTGGCAGCACTGTGCTCTTACAGCAATGAAACAAAAGGAGAATGAGGGGGAAGATGAACCTCAAGTTACTCTGAGCTGCTTTGTTCAGGCCCAGTCTTAATCACAAATTAGGTGATAGCCTTTTTGTGCATCCCAGCTGAGTATTAAAAGCTGGTTGGGGGAGTTTAAAGAAAGGAAGCAGCATTGCTGGGCCAGAAAATGACTACTGTGGGAAGGCCCTACTTGGTCTGTCCTGCTGTCAGTGGAGTATTAGAGTTCTTTTGAATATGCCCATTTGCTGTTGAATGTTGCCCTCTCGCGAAGGCACATGTTTCTGCTTAAAGCCCCAAAGGTGTATTCAGTGCCCTGACCCAAGTATAGCAGGTGGGGAAGTAGGTTTTCTCATTCTGCTGTGTAAGTAGTCTGCTTCTTTAAAAGGGCAGGGAAAAGGAAGGGAAAGAAGAGGAAAATGTACAAGAAGCAGCAGAAAAACTGTAAAACCATGAAGAAATGCCATCGCATAGATCTGAGGGTTTGGGGTTGATTTATGTGTTTTTTAGTTTTGTTCAGTGAATGGTGATGTTGTTGAGGTTTGGCATTTATAAAGAAAGAGTTCTCTGATTTCAGTCCAATTGCTATTCTTTTTTCCAGTTTGACTGAAACTTTAATTGCCTTTTCTAACAAGTGCTAACTGATCTTTTGAAACAGCAAAAAATACATGTATATCTCTTGAAAGGTGCCTTTGTGTACCCCGTCGAGAACACTGTGTGGGAACATTCTGTTCTTTGGTTCTTTGTGGGTGCCAATATTTAACTGCTTTAGAATTCCTTATGCTCCATTTTGTTCATTAACAATTCTAATTCCGAGGGTAACTTTTGTCTTGAATCTATATTTTGGTAGTAACTCTTTTTAAAAGGACATTGTCAGGGTTGCGGACTCCATGCACAAAGTGCTGTCCATCAGTCAGAGCTACATGGGAGGCATACTTTACTGAGCAGAGGTTTCTAGAATTAAGATGGTTGAAGTGTCTAGTGGGTAAAGACTTGCATGTTTTAAGTTTCTGTGTGATGTGGATGAAGAAACAAAAGCTATTAATTTGGTAGACCCTATGAAAAGTCATTTTTTATAATGCTGGCTCTTGCTCTAGTTATCAGCAGTACATTAGGTACAGTGTTTAGCAGTCAGTGCAAGCAGAGATATTTTGCCATGAGGCACTACAAAGTTGAAGTTATTAAAACATTTATAGCCTTAGAAAAAAAAATCAATGATTGTCAAATAGGAAAGGACAAAATCAGTAGCTGGGATTGGGAGGGGAATTGTTTTCCATCTGCTAAAACAGTAGAGGAAATGCAAAAATTAAACTAGCAAAAGCAATCACTTGACAGTGTCCTTTTAAGTTTAAGCCCCTATATTAGGAAGCTGCCACTGGGGAGTTAGTGCAGCCATAGCTTGTTGTCCAGAGTGTTGCAGTTAATATGCTTCAGCTACACATCGGGCTGTGTTCTACATGACTTCTGCTGAGGCTCCTACCCGTGCCTTCACTTCGTGTTCTTCCCGAGTGGCTCATACACGCACCCCTGCTGTGTGTTTGTGTAGTCATTGCTTGTGTGACCTCGTGTGCCGTGAACCTATAGCAATCACACCCTTCCATTTCTAGCCACTTCAGTCTTGCTGTTGAATCCCATCTTGAGCATATATTTATGTATGTATGTAAGGTCTTAATCTAATAAATTATCTGCAAATTTCATTTCTTCTTCTAGAGTTTTATTTCATGTATATTCTGGTTTGTTTTGTCAAACTCAGATGTCAGTTCTGCCATTGACAGTATGTTCCACTTTCCACATCATCTCGCTATATATGTTGTGAATCTCCAGTTTGCTAATACAGATGAGGAAATCATTTTCTCATTGTGTTCAGGACATGGGTTTTGCTGTGATGAGGAGCAAGACTTCTTTTGGATCAGGAAGTGGATGAGAGGTCTCAGAATACCAAAGAGAGCCAGCATCATGGTTTGGGACAAAAAGGTGAAATTAAAGAGTAAGGAAGAAGAGATGGAGGTAAAGGCAAGAAAGGACAAGAATGCAAGGCAACAAGCTGTACCAAAGGATGATAGAAGGTTGAGAGGAGCTGAGCCAAATGGTAGAGATGAGATAGTAAGTCAGTGAAGAAGAATTTTGTGCTTATATCCCAAAGTGAAAAATATCTTCAAGCAATGATTCCCATAAGGGGCCTATGACTCCCCACTCCTTTTCCAGATCATCTTCCTGCATTTGGAGAGCTACTGTCCAATGGATACCTGGTAAATGAGGGAAAGAAGAAAATTACCTAGCTTCAGCTGCTCCTCTATTGAGTAGCTAAGACAGGGAGGACAGAGCACAAGGAGGGTAATAAAGCAGAATCCAGGTATAATCCAGGCATAATCCAGGCATGGACTGAATTTAGCTGCTAGCAAGGGATGTTGTTGTGGACATAGGTGACAGAAGAATGTGAGACTGGATATAGGAAGAATCTGAATAAGGGAGAAACAAGCAAAAGAAAATTTGTAGTAACCCAATGAGCTGTGGATGTTTGCTGTTAAGGAATGAGAGGAAAGGGCTTAGCTATGCTTGAGAAAGATTGAGCCTGAGATATCTAAAAGATATCCTTGAAAGCACACATGAGCCCGGGGTTAAACTCTGAAAGTTGTAGAAGAGATTTTCTGAGATATGACCTGCAGGCAGCGTTTGAATTTGTACCGTCTGAGGGGGATGGAGCACAGCCAGGTTGGTTGGAAACCTCCTTTTTCACCGTTACCAAATTTATGAAATTGCGTGCTAATTAGTGTATGATTTATAAATTTACATAACTGCGCTCTACATGAGACAGCACAGAATATCAAATGAGGTAATTTAAACCCTGCTCTGGCTTGGTGCCTCTCCTCTGGATAATGCCTCTCCCAGTCCGTAGCTGCTCCTGCATCTCTTGAAGGCCTATCTGCGCACAGTGACAATAATACAACATTGTGGATCCATGTATCTGTAGGAAAACAGGCTACCTTGAGCACCTCTGCCATGGTTGTGTGGCAGAGTTTTCAGTGTGATCTTTGGGGAGGATGAAGCCCAGGTCAGATCTGGGAGCCCAAGTCAGCTGAAAAAGAGCAAGAAACCCAACTTGGTCTGGTAAGTGTTGGTGCTTGATGTGATAAGGAGCTTGTTGGAGGTTGGTGACTCCCCAAGTTGTTCACAGGGATGTAACTGCATTACAACTGCAGCAAAATGATGGGGACATGGGAGAACTGGATTTAATTCCCAGCTCTGTGGAAGCCACTTTGCCTCCCTCAGTAGCATCCTTTGGGTTCTGCTGGTGAAGCGTGTTTACTACCGCATCTCAGAGGGGCTGTGACTTTGCTATTACTGTATGCAGCAGAAGCTGTTGGACATACCCAGGAACAATTTGCCTATGGACCGTAAGCTGCAAGAGCAGAGGCACATCAGCCAGTCGTTCCTATCTAAAGGCTGAAACTCTCAGACTTCTTCATCTATTTTCAGGCTTGAAGGGGTCATTCTAGGCACTAGGGGACTAAACTGGAGAAGCTTGGAAGTCAGTGACATGTGAGGACCTGATGTACATGAGGTGAGAGATGCCCACACGGTCCCACAGACAAACCAATCCACAAGTGGCTGTGGGAGCCATACATTACCAGCTTCCTTGATTCAGGAGT